AGGTTGGCTCACGTGGGCCAGGTGCTGGGATCTCTGTCTCCTGGGCCTTCATTCTCCATAAGCCCCTGTCTGAGCATGGCATCCGCCAGCACACAGGGGGTTAAGCCAGCCTTGGAGCTGGAGCCCATGGAGTCCTTCCTGACAATAAAGCTAATGAATCCCTCCTTGCCGTTTTCTCTTGAACAATAACATTTAATCATCATTTGCACAGCAGATGAGAAGTTTGCCGCAGATGCAATTTTGCGCGAGTGGTGATTTCTGTGTGTGGGCACCATTCTTGTTGTCCCCAGCACACCTGACAATCTGGGGCCGGGGCAGGCTGCACTCAAGAGGGGGTGTGTGTACATCCACGTGCTAAGGACCTGACTCCACACACGTGGGAGACGGGCTTTGGAGGCATGTGTCTGTTTGTGTGCATGCTTGCCTACGGAGTTAGGTACATGTGGCATAGCTGTGGGTGACCCATGGCGGATCTGCCTGAAGGTGCAAGTGGACAGAGGTGGCTAGGTGCCTGAGGACACATGGTCTGGAAGTGAAGGTACCTACATGTAGACAGGCAGATGCATGGGGGTAAATATCATTGTGCGTGGGTGCGTGTGCTTGCTGTAGATCTGAGCATTTGTTGGAGGATGCCTGTTTGTTTAGATGCTTGTTGGTGATCGTGCATATTACGTTAATACACACAGACTTGTGTGATCACATGTATAAACACATCTATGAGCATGATGCCCTTGAATTTAGACTTCAAAAAGATCTGTTCGTGAGGTTACACATGCTTTCCTGTGCATGCATGAAAACGTGCATATGCATTAAGGATGAGTGCCTAGAGCTATGTTCGTGTGTACAAGCACATCTGAGGGTATACACATACATGTACAATGTACTTGAATGGCAGTTTCTGGGGACACACAACCTCTTCCAGGTGGCAGTATCCTCACAGCAGAAGGGGGCTCGAGAGCTCTCTGGGGTCACTTTCATAAGGTCACCGACCCCAATGATGAGGGCCAACCCAATCTACACCACCTCCAAGTCCCATCACATTGGGGGTAAGGATTTCAACATGAGAATTTGGGAGTGCATGTGTATGAGTGCATGCCTGAATGGGAAAATATGTTTGCTCATTGAAGAGCGCCAGTGGACACACACTGAGTACAAACATGAGTGTGCGCACGAGAGCTCCCCTCTAGTACATGCATAGTGCACTGGCATGTGGCCACACTTGCAGATCTGCAGGGATATACTCTGTGTGCATGGCTGTGAATGTGCATGTGTCTGCATTGTGCACGCAGATGGGAACATGTCTGTGCATACGTGTGCATGCATCATGTGCTGGCATGCTCGTGCATCCATGTGCGCGCACTGAAGCGTGAGCCCTCTTGGCTCAAAGTGAGGGCTGACAGGGCTACATTTTCCAAAGGCTCAGCAGCCAGTGGCAGAGCTGGCCTGAGAGCGCATGCTGGCAGGAGGTAAGTGGAGCTGCTGATTCGTGACCCGGGGGTGGGCCGTGATGACGGCTGGCTGACGGATGCAGGCGCTTAGCCGCCCCTATGACAGCAGCTGGCTCTCTGAGCCGCCTGAATCAGGAGGTGGGAGGTTAGTTCTTGACCTGTGGTGCTCAATGCTGGCTTCCCGTGTCCCTGGTGTGTGCCCACAGCCACATGTGGACACACATACATTGGTACACACCAGAGACACAGACCCAGCTTGGATGGTGGCTCTCACCTAGGCCCCACCTCCACCTTGCTCCCCAGCCCTGCCATCCATCTAGAATGTCTCCCCTCTCACTAACCTGCTTCTTTCTCTTCCACCCCCGTCCCCAGCAACCACTCAGGCCGGGTCTTGTGCAGAGCCCTGGGGGGTAAGTGTAAAATGGGCAAGGCCCTCTTCTCCTGTGAGCACTGCTTCCACGTCCCACCCTCATAAAATAGGACTAATGAAAATACCTGCTTGAAATTAAACAAGGCAAGTTATGTGAAGAGCATAGAGCAAACATAGGGCCCACTCTCCATGAATGTTACCTACATTAACATGAATTATGCACGGTGCTTAGAACACTGCCTGGCATGCAGCAAGTGCTATGTAAGTGCTGGCACCGTCATTATTATCGTCATTGTCATTCCCATTGATATCCCTGCTTCTGAAATTTTTGGCCAATTATACATCAATTCTTGCTCAAGACCCTGAATACTCTTTTATCCCATAACAATGACAATGATGATGACAATGATAATAAAAAGGGATTTTTTTCTTTTCATTTTCCTAGATGTCTTGTAAAGAGAGCAGATATCGTGGAGGGAAGGCTCTTCCTTCTCCGAGCTTCTTGGTAGAGTTGGGTTTGCCCGTTTGGAGCCTGGGGCTGGGGTGGCCGTATTCTCTGCCTGACACAGGGAGAGCATTTGGAACTCTTGGGGGACCTATTAGGAACCAAAGACACAGAGGGCCCAAAGCTGTGTGCTCACGAAATGCTTGGTGTGAATGGCCACCTTGTGCCACCCAGTGAAGGGGCTGGACTCACTGGAGATGTCACTGTCACTCTCAGTGAGCAGCAGAGTCACCAAGCACAGATGCAGACTGAGGGGACCTTACCTTTCCTTCCAGTTCACACCCCGGAACTGGCAGAAGTCACGGGGAGGCTCGAGGACTTCCACAGGCTGCGGAACGCAGTGGCGAGGAGAGGAACGAGCTCCCCGAGAGCACAGATGGCGACTTTGGTATACGCCCAGGACATGTGTTCAGGCATTGCGGTGTGCTGCTGGCGGGGCACGTTCTGGGGGCCTGAGCACTCAGGTTTGAATGTTGGCATCTCTCCTTATCAGTTCTTTGATCTTGGGCAAGCTACTCAACCTCTTTGTGCCTCAGTTTTCCCACCTATAAAATGGGGGCTACCTCGCTGGGTTGCTGTGGGATCAAGAGTTAATTCATGTGAAGTGCTTAGAGCCCGTGGGAGGCGCTTAGTAGGTGTCAGCTGCTGTCACTGCCTTGTCCTCACTGAGATGCTATGGAGTAGATGTTCTGTGTGTGTACACTTTATGGATAAGAAAACGGAAGCACAGAGAGGGTAAATAACTTGTCCAAAGTCACACAGCAGGTAAACGATAGAGCCAAAGGCTCAGAGGGTGATTCTGGAGGAATAATGTTATTTCCAGCAAGATCTTTGATTCTGTGTGAGCTTGGGTAAGTCACTCCCCATGCGTGGGGTTTGACAAGATGTTTAAGTGGCCTGTGACTACATGTCCATGTATCCCTCCAGACATGTAACCTGCCTGTAACCTTCTTGGCAGGGTCAGAGTCTGCCAAGGCAACCAGTGTATGTGGAAGGAACAGACTTGGAGTCAGGAGACCTGTGTTGTCCCAGCTCTGTCCCATATCCGCTGGGAGACCTCGAATCAGTCACTTTATTCCTCTGGCTCTCACTTTGCCCCCTCTACAATGGGGATGGCCATAACCAACCTCAGAATCGTTGGGATTCAGTACGTGAGAGTTGAGTACATGTGGGTAAGATAGGTGATCACAGGTTTCCTCAGTGGTCCCCAAGTTACCAAGCCCATTTGTAGCTCGGGCCACAGGAACCATGGCTTAAGGGTCCCATGCGGGGCAAACTGAGGTTCCCAAATATCCCCCTACTTGAGGCTACCACACTAATCCCACATCCCTGCCATTAGCCACCCTCAGTGGACTTCAGAAAACATACATGTTCAAGTTGAGCAAATCATCGAGTTCCTTAGCCTGGCCGTCAAGCTCTTTTTACAACTGTGTCCAGCTTTTCTAGCCTCACCATTTCTGCACCCTGAGGTCCAGCCCCTGGGCCCACACACCCTTCCTAAAGCTGCGGCATGTTTCTTGCCTGTCCCCCCAGCCCCCAGCCTTTGCAGTCCCAAGCCCTGGCTTGGCCACTTCACATCTCGTACTCATTCTTCGAGACTCAGCTGAGGCCTCTTCCTCTGGGAAGTCCTCCAGGAACTATTCAATCTTTCCTCAGTGTTTCTAGGACCTTGTTCTGTTAATTCTGCTACGACTCTTACCAAATGCATTATTATTGGCTGTTTCTATTCCCCGACCTTCCTCCTTCCCCCTCATTAGGTCTTGAGCTACTGGAAGGCAGGAAGTACTCATAATCCATTTAACCCCGGGCAGGTTACTGCTCCCGGAGCCTCAGTTTCCTCACCTGTGAACTGGGGCCAACAGCACCCAACTTAGAGGAAATAATGCAGGTAAGTCACTCAGGACATACTGGCTGTCTCTCGATCTATCACCGTGGACCTGGGCAAATGTGGAGGGTATGAATGAGAGCTCTCTGGGAGGGTAAAAAAATAAAGCTAATGAGCATCTATTGAGCACTTTTCATGTGTCAGGAAGGCACTGAGTTCAGAAGTTAACTTTCATTACCTCCTTTTAAGCCTTTTAAGGGAAAGACTATTATCATCTCCATTTTACAGATAAGGAAACTGAGGCTTCAGCTGTTGAGGACCTTGATGAAGGATGCTTAGCTAGGGGGAGCCGGAATTCGTATCAGATCAACGTGGAATGAATGAATTACTTGGGGATGGGGGTGGGATGGGAGGACAAATAGCCTCTACCTCGTAATCATGTGGTTTTAGAGCTGGAAGCTCTTCGAGATAACTTAGTCCAGGGGTTCTTAATTTGGGGTCCATGGTTGGGGAGACTGATGGGTTCCCAGACGAGACAGATAAGGTCCCCACCATGCCCAGTGGCCTTCCATCTCCCATCAACCCGTCTCCCTACCCCAAGTCCTGGAGCCTCCCAGCTTGTCCCATCTTGGCAGCACTGCTATTTTGGCATGGCCTAAGACTCTGGGAGGCTGCACAGTGGCTGGGGACATCCCTCATCCCTGTCCCCCACTCAGGGAAGGACCAGGAGCTGACAGTTGTGACCACTTCCCCCTCCCTTGGAGATGCTGGGAAGAGGGGCGGACAGCTGGGGCAAGGGAGAGGGCTCAGACCCGAGAGGCTGACACGCTGGGCTTCTAAGAGCAGCAAAGATAAGAACAGCAACAAAGGCTAACATTTATTGAACACCTACTATGTGCCAGGCACTGTCCTAACCACTTGACACAGATGAACCCTTTTTATCCTCACAACTCTTCGAGGTAGGTTCTGTTATTAACCGCATTTGACAGATGAGGAAACTGAGGCCCAGAGAAGTGAGGTGACTTGCCCAAGGCCACGCAGCTGGTCCGTGCCTGAGGCGCCACCATGCACCAGCTGTCCTTGGACAGGTCACAGCCAATTCTGGGCGGTGGGGGGGGCTTTCCCCATCTGTTCCGTGCAGGACCCCACCTCCTGGTTTCTATGACGACTAAGATGATGGTCTCCGTTCAGCGTCCCAGCACACAGTAGGCACTCAGTAAATGCACAGCCCTTCCTTCCACTTAGCTCGGATGGGGGGAAGCCTGGGGTGGGGGCAGCTCGCGGCATCCTCCCCGCAGCGCGGGTGGAGCGACCGCCCCTCCGACGCAGCCACCCACCGCATCTGCCCTCCAACCCCAGAGCCACGCAGTGCCGGGTCTGGCCTCAGTTTTAATGACGTTGGTGGTAACTGCACCTCTGGGCCCCGAAGCTGCACCCCAGGGGAGGGGTCGAAGAGTCCGCCGCTAGCAAGGCCCCTCGCGTCCGGCCGCCAGGGAGGGCGAGGGGCTGGGGAAGGGGCGGGCGGGAAATGCCAGGTCCCTGGTCCGGGCGGCGGCCCCCGACGGCAGGGTGGGGCTAGGAGGCCTGCGCCTCGTCGTCCCCGCGGTGGCCGGCGTAGAGCGCGGCCAGGGCCCGGAAGCGCGGGCCCCAGCCGCCGAGATAGGCGAAGTCCTGCTCGGAGCCCGACGAGCCGCTGTGCAGCGAGCTGAGCGAGGCGGCGGGCGAGTCCGCGCCCTCGAAGGCGTAGGTCTGGAAGGCGTCGTAGGGCGGCACCGACAGGTCCCCGTCCGCCAGCGCCACCTTGCGGCTGATGAAGTCCCTGAACACCGAGAAGTCCGGCTCGGGGCTCGGCGGCCCCTGCGGGAGCGAGTGGCGCTCCGAGGGCAGGTGGGCCTGCGGGGGGCTCCCCGCGCCCGCGCCCGCGCCCCCGCCCGCGCCCCCGCCGCCGTCGCCGCCCTTGAGCTCGCCGAAGTCGTAGAGGCTCCGCAGCGCCGACATGTCGTAGGCTTCGGTGTCCTGCTCGCCGCCGCCCTCGTCGTTGTACTTGATGACGTTGTCCCGCATGTCCTCGTCCTCGTCCGAGCTCAGGTGGCTCTTGTGGTGGCGCCTGAGGGTGAGGATCAGCAGCACCAGCACTGCGCGGGAGACAGAGGGGCGACTGCAGGCCGGGCCTCGCCGGGCAGGCAGCCAGGAACGCCCCCTCCCACGACCCCGCCTGCCCTCGCCGAGTGGGCCCGGCCTTAACTTTCGTGAGGATTTCCCAGATTTCTGCTCCGAAACGCCTTTCTCACAGTCAGAACTGAGCGGTCTGGAGCGGTAGTGAGCTACTCATCTCGGGAGGTGTGCAAATCGAGGCTAGATCACCACTGGGGTGGAGGTGGTGGAAAGCAGTGTTAAGGGTTTTCGTGGGTATTAAGGGCTGCATCCAGCCTCCGAGGTCTCCATTCTCAACTCGGTGAAAAGATACACTTCCTGAGGACTCTGGGTGCTAGGGGTGTGACGGGGGCAGCTGAGAGACAAATGGAGCTGAGGGAGTGAAAGATGTCCTTGACGCTGACCTCTCTTTCACTCTGGTCCTCCTCTGTCCACCCCAGAAGTCCTGAGCTTCTGCCTAGTCCTTCGGCTCCCAGGTCGAGACCTGCAAGAACCCTTCCCTGAGAGCTCCGGGCCAGATTCAATGCCTTCACCCCCAAGATCCCCTGGGAAGGGTTCTGCTATCACACTGGTTCTCCAAGTGCGGTCCCTGGGCCACCAGCAGCAGCATCCCCTGGGACCTTGTCAGAAATGTAAAGCCTCAGGTTTTGCTGCAGTCCACCGGGTGCTACCCAGCAGCCTGTGTTTTAACAAGGCCTCCAGGTGATGAAGAGGCAGCTCAAGTTTGACAGCCACAGCTGTATCATGGACCAGACCCTGCTGTGTTGTCATGTCTGTCTCCACCATCCCAAAATACACACCCTGAACTACCCTTGAGGACCTGGGACCTGGAACCAGGTTCCCCTGGCTTGGTGCCTGGCATGTGATCAGCAGTTGAAACAGGCCTGTTGAATGAATGAATGAATGAAGAGTTGGATGGAGACCTGGATGAGTGAAAGAGTGAGTGAATGAATGAATTGTCCCCTCTTGGCTTTCTTCACTTGACTTCCAGGACTCTACATTCTCTTTCTCCTCCTCCTCCCACCTCACTGATCACCCATTCTCAATCTTCTAGATAGACTTCTCCTCATCTGACTTCTTAGCTCTGATGTCCCAGGACTCACAGATGTCCCAGCACTCAGAGCTTGATCTTCTATCCACACTTTTGGAGCTCTCCTTCAGTCTCATGGTCTTAAGCTCCACTTAGGGGCCGATAAGCTGACAGTTCCCATATCTCGGCCTCCAGCCTGGACCTCTCCCTTGAAATCTAGACTGCATGTCCAATTCCCTACTCAACATGTCCTCTTGGTTGACCAAGAGAATCTCAAACGTACCATGTCCAAAGCTGAAATAATAATCTTTGCTCCTTCCCCAGCCTTGGTCTCCCCCATCTCAGCAATGGCAACCCCAACATTTCAGTTACTCAGGGCTTTGAAAATCTCTTCTGTTCACTGATGAATCCCAGTGCCTAGAACTGTCTAGCACATAGGAGGGACTCACTGGATGGATTTATAAGCAAACGATGATGGGTGTGTGGACAGATGGATGGACACACAGACACGTGCCGGGTGCACTGCTGGGCACTGGGCTCTTCTTGCTGCTCCAAACAGCTCCAGCCAGGCCAGTGGCTAGAGCCAGCTGCTGAGCCACGAGGCAGAGTACTAGCTCGCCATCTCATGAGGCGGCTTATGGAAGGGAAGGGGTTAAGGGCTGGGGACAGGTCAGGTTTGGACGGGGAAGGAGGTGTCAGGAGAGACGTGGGAGAGATGGATGGATGGTGTCTGGAGCTGAGGCCAGGAGCTGCGGAGGGGGATGCCCGTGGGAGCAGATGGTGGGGATCGCGAGCGGCGGGCGACAGATGTGCCAGGCCTGATCAGCCATTCCGCCCGTCACCTTTAGAGCACTGATGTGCACTTTCTTCGTTTGTGGGCAATTAGGCAGAAATTTGTTTGCACTGCCTCGGAAAATGAAACCGCTGTAAAGTGCACCCTCTGGAAAAAGGGCTTCTGAGCCACGGGCTGGGGCGGGGAGGGAGGGGGGGGCCTGGCCTCCCAGCTAGGAGGGGCCTGCCCAGGGCCTCTGCGGGGTCCCCAGAGGGACAGCTGCCACAGGCAGGGCCTCAGAGGGCAGGCAATGGCCACGCCTGTGCTAGGCAGCAGCGCGAGGGTCGGGAGGAGCTGACGTCTCCCAGGGAACGGGGCAAAGCTGGCGTCTGCAGTCTGGACCTCCTTGGAGTTGCTCTAGCTCTGGCTGCACCCCGAAGCCCAGTAGCAGAACTGAGTCATCCGTGCCTTGAGTGGCTGCAGCTCTGATGGTGGCATTTGGCCACTTGAATCCAGTTAGTTCCTGAAAATTAACCCCTTCACTGGGGACACTGGGGTTCAGATGGCTGCCAGTGGGACTGGTACCCGTGTGGATTGCCCCTCACCCCCAAGTCTTAAGACTTTGCCCTTGGTGCTCCAAGGTTTTTCCCCTACTTAGAGTCATAGCAAATGGTTTAGTTAGAGGAGCAAGGGACACAGGGTGAGAAGACCTCATTTCAAGCCAGAAGACTAGCTGTGTACCCTTACATCACCTGCTTAACCTCTGTGAGCCTCAGTTTCGTCAGCTGAAAAATGGGATGATATACCTGGCCATGTGGTTGTGAGGTTCACAAGAGAAAAGTCTTACATGGAGTATGAGAAAGGACAATAGACATGAGAGAATTTAGAAAACTATGCTTGGTGTCTAAGAATTAGGGGGAGCTTTGGGCTGGGGAGAGGGAGGCCAGCGTGAACGCAGTCCGTCTGCAGTGGGTGGTCGTGCTCTGCACTGAGACTTCTCTTAGGAAGTGCAGGTTAGAGTGTGGAGATTGCTCAGAACGGCTCATCCTTGTGGAGGGAAACCGAGGCCCTGCGGGGGCTAGCTGGGATGGAAACCCAGGGCCCCAGGCTGGGGTCAGTCGGGCAGGGGTGGGTGGTTCCCGGTGGACTCACCGACCAGGATGAGGACGCAGACCAAGAGGGCGATGAGGGCGCCGGGGCTGAGGGAGGTGGCCATGACGAAGGCGGTGGTGTTGCAGGACTGGATGGCACCGGAGCTGTCGCAGCCGCAGATGCGGATGGTGAGGGTGCCCGTGCTGCTCAGCGTGGGCGGCCCGCTGTCCACCACCAGGATGGGCAGGAAGAACACGTCCTGCTCCTGCCGGTTGAAGCCCACGTGCTGCGTGTGCACTGCGGCCGTGTTGTCTGCTCCGGAAGAAGGGGGAGGCATGGGACTCGGGGCCCAGGGTCAGCCCCCCATCCCAGCCACCTCTATGCCCCAAGCTACTGCCTCCCGGCTGGCTCATCTCCCCAAAGTCTGTTAGCGGCTGTCCCCAAGATCCTGTCCTTAGCTGCCCAGAGGTCCTGTCCCCAGCCATGTAGCCCATAATTCTGTCCTCAGCTGTCCCAAGATCCTGTTTTCAGCTATTGTAAGATTTTGTCCTCAGCTGTGCCAGAGTCCTGTCCCCAGCTATTCCAAGATTCTGTCCCCAGCTAGGCCAGGGCCCTGTCCCTGGCTGTGTCATTTTTTTTGGCCCGCTTTTGTTCTAGATTCCACCCCAGCCGCCTAGTGTATTCTGACCCTGGGAGTCCCCATGGTCCTTGGATTGCAGTTTGCTGGGCCCTGACAAGTCCTGGGTCATCAGAGGGGACTGGACATCTGCCTTGGCTGAGGGATCTTTCTGTCCTTCATACCCCCAGGCCAGTCAAGAGTCCTGGAGCCAGCCCAGGAGTCTCTCGATGAGAGGCTGAGGCTAGAGGCCCTGGGGGCATGGCCTCTGGGGCCCGATGATGGGGCCTGGGAGCGGCGGGGTGTCTCACCCACATTCTCCTATTCATGCAGGCAGCCAGGGAGAACAGTGAATTAGCACAAATGGAACTCGTTGCACTATTCAGCCTGTCGCTGGGAAAGTCAGATGGGACGCAGGGCAATGGTGGCTGGCCTTGGAGCACAGGTGACAGGTGGCACCCACTTCTTCTGCCCTTCCTGCCTCCTCCACATCGGCCCGTTTGAGTCAGGCTCCCCCCACCCCCGGCCCCCGTCGTTGTGACGGCTCCTCTCGGCCCTGTGCAGCCCGTTGGTGGAAAGCACTCAGAGCCCCACGCTTGGCAGCCAACTCTGCAAAAGGTGGCCCTGCCTTCCTGCCCCTCAGTCCTTCTCCCTGCCGTGGAAGCCTCCAGGCTGGTCTTTCTGATCTGAGACTCCAGCAGCCTGGGTCCCTTCCCCAGCAGCCTCCAATTCAGCGCCTCAGGTCCGGCCTTTGTTGTCATGGACAAATGCAGGAGAAAACCCCTTGGGAGGACTGACTTGTGACCTTGGCGCATCTACAAAGTGGACATGAACCGAGATGGGCCGTGAGTTGCAGACTGCCCGTGAGGGGCGGGCACAGGAGGGCTCATCACATTAGCCTGTCTACTTTTACACACATTTGAAAATTCCCATAGTAATGTTAAAAAATAATGCTGAGTGTAAAAACAGCGCTTGGGAAACCCGCCGAGCTTCTTTGGACCTCAGTTTCCTTGACTGAGAAAAAGAGTATCATGCAGGCGTGAGAGTTAAACGGTATAATTCATGCGTAACCCTTAGAATATTGCTCAGCACATAGAAATTCTCCATAAATGCTAGTTAATGTCTTTTTTGGACTCTGCCCCCATTTTCCCTCTGCCGCACCCTGTCCCGGCTTCCTGTCCAGGTTGCCCTGCCTTTGCTCATAAAGTTCCCGTTATCTGGAACACCTTCTTCACCTTCTTTCCCGGGCAAATTCCTCATCTGTCATGCTCCAGCTAAATGTCACCTCCTTTCTGTGGCCTCCTTTCTCTGCTTCTCTGGGAAGGAAGGATTTATGGCTCCCTGCTCTGACGACGCAGGTGCCATGCGCAAGTTCTGCTACAGCACTTGTCACGTCGTGTTAAGTCCGTGTGTGCCTGTCCCCCCACTGCACGGCCAGCGGGGCTGGCACTGAGCCAGGCCTGAAGAACGATGCTTGAATGAACCACAACTTTCGGGCTAACGGGGGGGGGGGGGTCCTGGGTCAGCTCCTCACGCTCTTGCTGGGCCTCAGGCCCTCCTGTCGCAGGGTGGGTCAACCCCAGCCGTGAACACATCTGCCTTCCACGGGGGGAGGGAGAGGGCTGAGGGCAGGCTGGGGGAAAGAGGGGACGGTGTGGGACTCAGGTGCACAGACCGGATGCTTTCTGTGCATAAGGACTTTGTGGGCACTTTAAATACATTGTAATGTTTAATCTTCACAACCACCGAGAGCTGTGGCATCATCCCTCTTTTATGTATGTGGAAACTGTGGCTCAGACAGAAGTGACGTGTCTGACTTTGTCCAGTAAAATCATCCGCCTGTCCTTCCTTCCTTCTTTCTGTCCATCCCCAAAATCTTCATTAAGTACTGTGTGCCGGGCACCACGCTAGTTGCTGGGGGAAAACAAGAGCTCAAGCGACCCCAGCTCTGGATCGGAGCTCACGTCCCAGCGTGCAAGACAAATGTTAATCAGGTACACCCGCACCTGAGTGCGCAGTTGCAAGCCCTGGTGAAGGAGAAGCACTGGAGGGACACAGAGAGGGCCTGACCCGGCCTGGGAGGTCGGGAGAAGCTTCTCGGAAGAAGCGATATTGTCCCTGAGCCCTGAACGGCTCATGCAAAGGCCTTGGGGTTGGACGGAGCCTGACACGCTTGCGGCACGGAAAGCAGTCCTCTATGGCTGGAGGGATGGCGGTGACAGCTAGAGCGAGTCAAGATGAGGTGGACGGGGCAGGCAGAGGCCCCTGGTGGAAGCCTTGGAGGCCATGGTAAGGAATTGGGGTCATTTTCTTAAAAGCAATGGGAGGCTGTTGATGGGTGGGTTTAAAGCAAAGAGGTGACCTGGCGACACATCCTCTGTTCCTTCAACAGCAAATGTGACTTGAGCAACCTCTGTGTGTCAGGGCTATTCTGGACCCTGGGGAGACAGCAATGAACAAGATAGACACAGTCCCTGTCCTTGCCGAGCCCACATTCTGGCTAAGGGGACTTGTAATCTACAACACAAGAGTGACGTGGAAGAACAGTTCGGAAGCTGCTGTGTGTTTGAGGCGCGAGATAGCGGGAGCAGCGGAGGCGCAGGGAGGCAGGCAGATCTGAGGCACGAGTGGCTAGCTCTGGCTCAGCCTCAAATTGCCAAGCGAGAACAGAGATGTTTATCTCTCAGGGTTGCTGTCTTTAGCCGTGGAACCATATGTTCTGAGCGTGCTGGGCCCTGCCTCTCCTCCACCCCATGGAAGGGAATCCCCGGGCATCATCCCCGAACCCAGCAGGCTGCCCTCCTGGGCAGCAGCTGGCTTCGTCCGGGGAAGCTGTGGCCACCCCACCCCCCTGCCCCACCCTTCTAGGTGGACCTGTGCCCAGCGCCGCATCCATCCATCTGGCCTGACATACATCAGTGTCAATCCCTGGCTGCAAAAGCAATATTTATAAATCACGTTTCCAAACTGGCTACACATTTATACAAAGAAACAGATGGGTTGGGGTAGCCGTTTGTCACCTAGGATATTTATACAGCGAGGAGGAGGGGGCTTGGCACGTTGCGGGCAGGGGCTGAGGGACTGGAGGAGGAGGCCTTCCACAGCTACCCTGACCTCAGCACGCTGCTGCCACCCTGTCCCTGGAGGTTATAGCAGGGGCCACGCCCGATGGCAGCCCTGGTGGCTCCTGGCCCAATAGAAGCAGTTGGGGCAGAACCTCAGGCCCCGGGGTTGGAAAGACTCCTGAGCTTGGTGGGGTTGAGCCAAGCTATCTGTGTTTCCTGCGGCCAGCTCAGGATACCGTTGGAATAATGAGTAGGCAGCATTGTCCTGGTTGTTAAAATATTGAAATACTTCCCAAAAGGTTTAAATAGCTGTGACTCTAAGCTCTCCCCCCACCACCCCCGCTGCCTCCGCCTTTCCCCCGGCATCCTTCCAACTTTGACTCAATCAAGCCACTAAGGGGTTAATGCCTGGCACTCGGGGGCTCTGGGGTCCTGCTCCACGTTATGGCGGGCATCCTTCTGATTGGACATCTCAGTTGCACTGGATGCTAAATGTTTTTAATATGACGCCCAGGAATACAGATGGGTCTGGCTTCAGAGGTCACTAAAGTCTCTCCCATTCAGGTGTGTAAAGTCCTGGGGTGATCCCAGGCCTGTTCCAGAGCCAGAAGGAACCAGCACGATCCGGTCCCTCATGCCTTTCTGACTACGTCTCCTCCTAGCCTTGTCTCTCACTAGCTCCAACCACGTAGGTCTCCTGTTCCTCGAACATCTCACCGCAGGGCCTTTGCACCTGCACTTTCCACCTGGCTGTTTCTTTGTTCAGTTACTTGTGTGGCTCACTCCTTCATTTCCTTTAGATCCCTTCTCGCTCTGGATTCCCTCAGGCAACCCTATTTCAAACAGCTTCTCCTCTTACCCTGCTTTATTTTTCATTGTTTCATTGAACACATTTTATCAAACATCTCCTGTGTGCCAGGCACTGCTCTAGGCACCCAAGGTCAAACAAAATCAAGTCCAGACTCTTGTGCAGACTGCACCATCCCCCCACCCCAGCCACTTAGCATCCCTAACGTATTTTTTATTTATTTATTTTCTGCCTCCCCCTTACTAGAGTATAAATTCCATGAGGGTGGGGGTTTTGCCTTGTTTGCCGTTGCATTTCCAGGGCCTGGGGCAGAGCCTGACACATAGGCATTGCGCCTCCAGAAATGCTCAATAATGTGCTCCGTAAATAATCGCCAAATGTAGGGATTGACACGTGCTAGGTACTAACAGTGTGACTTGGTAGCCGTCATCTCCTGGGGTCACCCGGCCACCCAAAGTGGTAGGCCTTATCAGCCCCATTTTACAGATGGTAAAACTGAGGCTTAGAGAGGGGCAGACACCTGCCAGGGCTTCACAGAGAACCATCCTCTGAGTCTGGACCCCTCACTCTCAGTCCTGACCGCCCCTCCCTGTCAGTCATTCCTTAAAGGTACAAACTTCAACTTCATGGAGCACTTGTGGGGGGTGGGGGTGGGGACTGTCACAACAGACTCAGCTCAGGCCGGGAGGGAAGGGTTGCTTTCTAGGTAGGGAGCTAAGGCAGAGGTGCACTGGGTTGGAGAGAGGTGTGGGTTTGAATCCTGGCCCCACCACTGACTCCCTATATGACCCCAGGCAGGTCCCTTGGCTCTTAGAGTCTCAGTTTCATCATCTGTGAAATGGGAAGAGGGGTCAAAAAAACCACCTCCCAGGGTGGCAAAAAGAAATAAAGCACTTTCTAAATGGCAGGTGTGGAGTGTGCACGTGGCTCACTGCAGTCCTCACGCTGAGCAAGGGCTCTTTCCGCCCCGACTCTGGGCCAGCTATGCCCAGCTCTTCCCTTACTGCACCTATCCGTCCACCATTCCCCGCCCTGGGGATGTCCCCCAACCCCGCCAGCCCCTGCCCTGCTTGTTCTTCTTGGCGTGGCCATGGGCGGGGCCAGTTCCAGCCCGGCCCAGACTTCTGTGAGGTCTTGCCGACACCTGCCCCGGCGGCCTCTGTCCCTCCGTCTGCGCCATGTGGAGAGGGCAGGGGGCTGGGCCCCCCCACTCCATGCTTCTAGGGTTCTAGGCTCACCTTGGATGTCGAGCAGAGAGAAGTGAGGGTTGCTGGGAGCCTCGGGCACCAGGCGGAAGTAGAAGCGGTGCCCGCCCTGGGGCTCGTCCCGGTCCACCACGCTGATGGTCTGGATGAGCTGAGGGGCGACAGGGGCAGGGAGCTGGCGGTGAGGCTGCGACCACTCTGGCCCCTGGCCAGCCCTGGAAGCACCTCCAGTCTCCAGCCCTGCAGTGGTACCTGGCCTGGCTTGGCGTCCTCACACACAGCCGCCTCGTAGGGTGTGGCCAGCTCTGGGGGATTGTCATTCACGTCCAGGATTCGGATCCTGAGGGACGCCCGGGACAGCTGGGCATGATTGTCTGTAACAAGAGCACAGGAGTAGGGGAGAGGCGCCACGTGCGAGATCTAGACACCCCATCTGTTACCAGGTCAAGGTTAGGCAGTGGGGACACACTGAGATTTGTGGGGAGAACAAAGCCGGCAGGAAGACCAGGACTGGGGACATCTGGGCGTATGTGGGTAAACATCACTATCACCATCGCCACCATGACCGTTAGTGCTGGCACCACTGGCCTCACCACCACAACCCCCACCTTCCTCACCAGTACCACCCCCACCAGCCCCATCCCCACCACCAATCCCCCCACCAGCCCAACACCAGCACCACCATTAGTGTCACCATCACTATTGCCATTGCCATTACCACCATTAAACCATCACCACCACCACTGGTATATCATCACTGCTTTATGTTACCAACATAACTGCCAGTACCACCATCACCACCCTCACTACTGTCACCATCCCCACACTGTTGCCATCACCATTGCTGCAACCATCACCGCCATTACACCGTCACCATCAGCATTAGCACCGGCACCACCATCGTATCCACTGGTACTACCCTCACCATCTCTACCGCCATCATGAGTACCGAGACCATCACTATCACCATCCTCACCACCGCCACCAACCCCACCACCATCACCAAATCACCATCACACCCCCGCCCCCACCACGGACAACACTGTCATCACCATTGCCATCCCCACACCCTCCCCAGAGAGTGCAGAGATTGCATCTGGAGCACCCAAATCCATTATTTCAGGTATCCTTGCAGAAACCCTGTGGTTTGGTAGAATTTACATCCATTTATTGCAAGGGAGAAACTAAAACATGGGAAAGTTTAAAGAATTGGCCACCTGGCAACTGAACTCTGCTGATTCTGAAAGGGCCAGACAAATCCAAGGAGGTGGGTGTTGGCCAGCAAGACCATGATGGCCCCATCCCTCCAACGGGGATGCCTTTGAGGTCAAGGTCCCTGTCTTATTTATCTCTGGGTCCCCAGCATAGGTTCTAATATATTTGTTGAACAAATGAATGGAGCCCAGAAGGATCATCTGCAGGAGGCTTGGAGTCTAGGTATGGCTGTGTCCTTGACCCAATGTTTGAACTTGGCTGAGACCCTGACCTCTCTGGTATCAGTTTCTACACGCAGAAAATGAGCAGAGCATTTTCTGGAATCAGAGTTCTGGTCCCAACTCTACCAATTTATATCTGTGTGATCTAAGTGGTATCACTTGAACTCTCCAGGCTTCAGTTTCTCACCTGCAAAATGGGTCTAATTGTAATAGATTGGTTAAGAGATCAATTGAGTTAATATCTGTTAAGCACTTAAAACCGTGTATACAGGGCCGGGCGAGGTGGCTCACGCCTGTAATCCTAGCACTCTGGGCGGATTGCTCGAGGTCAGGAGTTTGAAACCAGCCTGAGCAAGAGCGAGACCCCGGCTCTACTATAAAGAGAAATAAATTAATTGGCCAACTAATATATATAGAAAACATTAGCCGGGCATGGTGGCGCATGCCTGTAGTCCCAGCTACTCGGGAGGCTAAGGCAGGAGGATTGCTTGAGCCCAGGAGTTTGAGGTTGCTGTGAGCTAGGCTGATGCCAGGGCACTCACTCTAGCCTGGGCAACAAAGTGAAACTTTGTCTCAAACAACAACAACAACAACAACAACAAAACCGTGTATACAATGCATAGCAAGTGCTGTATAAGTATTTATAAATAAACAGACATCCTCAAAGGCTCCTTTCAGCAATGACATTAAATGACTTCTTAGGATGTGGAGTAGCTCATCCCAGCCTGTCCTCTCTGAGCAGCACCCTGAACATTGGCCCTTTCTAGCCTCACCCTGACCTGGACATCTGGGTGCTCTTTGGCACCCCACCCTCAGCTATCTCAGCCCCGTGTTCATCACCGGCAGGTTCCAGGACCTGCCAGCGACATCAGGAACATGCCCTGGGCAGGAAATCACACCCTGCTTCCAAGCGGTGACTTGGATGAACAAAACTCTCTGGCTGAGCTGGCAGGGAGCTATTTTAGGGGCAGCCTGGAAGCTTCCAGACAGCCAGGCACCCCGTGAGTTTTGGGGGGAGTGAGACTGGTCGGCTGCCTCCCTCCCTGAACTCAAGACCCCCCGGATGCCGACTGCAGCTGCCTGCACGTTGATAAAGAGAGAAATGCAGATAGGAAGGCAGGTGAGGGCGCTAGGAGACCCACCTCCGAGGGGTCAGGGAAACGAGGGCGGCGAGTCCTTAATTAACTCAGACCCTAGCCCCCCTCTGGAGCTCCCCTTAGCTGGGGGCGTTTTATCTCCTCGGCTCACCCTGATCTGCCGCACCAGTGATTAGAGGGGGCTTTTCTGGGGGCGAGAGATGGGAGTCGTGACTGGGGATGCCTGGTGAACCGTTATTTTTAAGAGTGCGTTGCCGAAAAAACGTCAACAGACAGATGGTGGGTGCTTTCGGGGGAGGGGAGGGCGAGGCCCACAGCCAGGAACAGGCGGGCCTCCCAGCAGAGGCAGAGGGAAGTTGGTGGGGGCAGGGCCCCTCTCCTGCGGCGGAGGGTGGCGGGTGCAGGGGCTGCAGGGAGAGACGGGATCCCACAGGCCACGTAGAAGGGAGACCTCCGAGCAGCTGGACAGCTGAGTGGGCAGTCACCCTCCTGCAGTGCTGGTCGCAGTGCTGACGAGACCCCCATTATTACACTTTTGCTTTGGGTTAGGCTGGGCCTCTCCTACCTCATCTTTTAAAATATCACAGGTCATCTATTGGGGCAGCCTGACCCTTTTGGCATGAGTGAGGGTCTCAGATTTAAGAGGTGGGGCAGCTGAGTGAGCACTGAAGAGGCGTGCCTCTAAATTGCCAAAGGTGCCACCTGCAGAGCTTATCCTAGGAAACCCTGGATTTGGGGCTGGCCTGGAATCCCAGAGCTCATGGGCCAGTCCTGGGTTAGCATCCAGTGCCATTGACGTTGACATTGGGGCAGTGGTACTCCAGCCTGCTGTACATTAGAATCACCTGGGAAGTCTTTAAAAGGCACCAATGCTCAAGTCTTGATCATTGATATATTTTTTAACAGCTCCTCAGGGGAATCAAACCTGTAGCAAGGTTTGCAAACCACTGCTCTCGGGTGGGGGAGTCCAACCTGATGTCTCGAGTCCGATCAGCTTTCTCCAAACCTCTCCTGATCACGATTAGTATCATTAATAACAATTGATCATCATGATATTTTGACCACCTTAAATATTTCTGGTATCAAACAAGGAATCCATCAGTTGATTAATCTTGACCTCTCTGCACAGAACTTTCCAATTCATAACACCCTTTCTTATCTAGACCTCATTTAATTCTCAAAACAGCTTGTGAAGGAGGTATTCTTAGATACATCTTGTGGATGAGGAAACTGAGGCCCAGAGTAGGGCAGGACTTTTCCCAAAGCCATAGTCAGTCCGTGGCAGGGCTGGGGCTGAGGCCTTAGTCTCCTGATTTTAAGTCTAATGCTTGGTCCAGATCCAACGTCGGTGGGCTCCCCTGCTGCCTGGGTATTTGCCCACCCACTGGCAGCTGCTGCCTGGACCCAGGCCCAAGCTACCCGCACCCAGTGGCTGGAGGCAGGTGCTCCACCAGGGCCTGGGTCCCCCATGGCCCTCCCCTCTCGGCATCTCAGTTCAGCTGACTGACATGCAAATTAGTTTAATTATTTCTTCTTCTAAAATAAATTATATTTTGCAGTAGCTGCAATATGTTGTGTCAGGCAAAATTACATTCAATATTTTTAAACTAATTGATGCAGCCTTGAGGAAGGCTGATTGACAGCCCGGAGCTGAGCAGGCCTGCGGCCTTAACCGATTCCTAAATTAAAATTAAACGTGCTTTGGCCGGGTGCTTCCTCCGTGAGCCGGCTCACCATTAATCCGGGGAGGTGGCAGGTGAAGCCCTGGGGGTCCGAGGGCTGAGGAGGCCAGGCAGCTCAGCGGGTGGGGGCCCCTGGAAGCAGGAGGACCGTTGTGCAGCGTGGCAGGTCTCCTACCTGCCCTGGGCCTCCGAGTTCCTTACGTGTAAAGGACAGGGGATTGGACTGGGTGACTTGGAACTGAGGCTTGTGGATTTTGCTGACAATTATGGATTGAGCACCTCCTTTGTACCAAGGACACAGCAGTGAACACGACCAACACGGTTTCTCAGTCTAGCGGCAGGGACAGACATTACTCCCAACTGATAAGAGCTGAGAGAAAACAGCACAGGAGCTATGTGAGCAGGGCGTCCTGCCTGGTGGGGTGGAGGGATGTTGTCCCCGGAGTCAGTGACATTTCTGCTGAGACCTGACTAGGTAGTAATCAGGTGAAGGGGATGGAGAGGGAAAGACTGTCTCAGGGAGTGGGGTCAGCATGTGCAAATGCCCTGGGGTCGCAGAGTCAGCTGTGGTTAATGACACTCTAGATCTCTCCCAAGGAGGAGCCCAGCCCCTAGCAGAGTTACCAGCCTGGCATCTGGACCAATCTGAGTGGGACTGGGGAGGGGGCTGGGGGCCAGTGAGAAGGGAAGAGGTGACGGGCCCTGGCCTTGCCAGAAGTATGGCAATGAGCACATATCGAGCGCCTGCCATGGACCGGGTCTGGGCTGTCTCATTTCATCCTGTCAGCCCCTGTGGGAGGTAGGTTTTAGTACCGCTGCTATTTTGCAGAAGACAGAATGGGCACAGAGAGGTGAAGCAACTTGCCTAAGGTCTCACAGGGAACAATGGATGGACCTGGGACTCGAACCTGGGCCCGGGTCCAAAGAGGGTGTTTTAAACCACCGGCTAGTACTGCCTTTCTTAACTTCTTTTGCTATCAGAACACTGCTTGTCTTCAAGGCCACACATAAATGTCCCTGCCTCCTCCAGGAAGCATTCCCTGACTGCCCTCAGTCCGGGGCAATCGGAGGATGAGCCCAAGTCCTTCGTGCCCACGAGGCCCCAAGTGATGGTCTTGCATCGGGACCCCACCTCGTCCCTCGCCCAACCTCCCTCTTT